AAAATTTAATACAAGGCTCCTGATATATTGTTACAATATCAGTTGAAAAATATTCAAAATACATAGGCACAATTTTTTTATATAAGCATTTAAACATCGAATTTTGACAGAATTTTTCAAAATCTCGAAAATTATTAATCATTGTAATTAATAAACTATAAAATGTTCAGTTTTTATAGCTAAGGATTGAAAATTTAAAACAAGATTCCACGTAAGTTGTAGTTAATTCTCTTACCGAAAAATCTAAAAAATATACAATCACAGTTTATTTTTATAGTCATTTTATGTTCAAATTTGGACGAAATTACATATTAAAAAACCTAGTTATTTTGTTGTGATTATATAATATTATTACCTACTTGAAACTTCTAAAGTGTACTATTATATATCTATGATAGTATCAGGGTTTGTTATTGATGTTGATGTATAACGTGTTATAAGTACCTAATGGATATTGTGATAATGTGATATGATTAATTTGGAATTTATTATAGGTCAATTTTTTTTTAATACCATAGATATGTATATAATTTGTCTTAAACCTAGACTGACATACCGTCTTCGCTCAGAATCGTTTTTCTTATACAATGATATTATATCATTGAATTCAAATTTAATAGCATCCATTATACAGTGACCCACTTGTAAACCTACTGTACAGCAGAGCGACATCCACTTACCTACCTTTTTATATTTAAAATTTGAAAATTTAATATAAGATTCCTTATAAGTTTTTTGACCTAAAACAAAAAAAAAAATGTCTACCATAGTCAAATTAAATTTTTATGAAGGTTTGAAGTTCAATTTTTTACAAGATTGGATATTCACTCGATTTCTCATGGAGCGATTTTCTTATTAGGTTATAATTCAAAAACGAATAACCTTAGATACTTGATATTATTTAGTATTTACACCATTTATGTATTTTATCATTTTCTATGCCTACTTGATAAAATTTTCAAAATATTTTGACTCGTGTTGAGCTGTTTCCAGACATTATCAATTTAAAAATTTTTTAATTTTTTCTTTAAATACCTATCAATAACATTTTATTCGTGGGATCAAAAAACTTGAAAACTGAATACAAGAAGGCTCTTAGATTTTTGTTACAATATCAGCTTAAAAATATAAAAATACATAGGCAAGATGATTTTTTTATAAGCATTTTAAGTTAAAATTTCGATAAAATGTATCATATTGAAATTTACTAATTATTTTGCTGTTAAAAATGTATAAAAATATTTTCATACTGTAACCAAAAAATCCAAAATTATATAAACACAATTTTATAGTTATTTTAAGTTCAAGTTTGGACAAAATTAGATATTTAAATGGATGTCGGTTATTTGGTAAAATTGATTCTATTTGGTGTTGCGTAAATATTCCAGTTATTTGATTTTTACACGATTTTTACACGATAAGAACTGGATAGTGGATAGTTTTTACTTTTGACCCCCAAAAGTATACCAAGAGTCAAACTGTGATGACAGAACCTAAAACCATACATACACCACTGTAAAACCAACCATCGCTATATTATATGGTTCAGAATCTAAAACTTTATCTTTACTTAAATTTTAAATTGTAGCAAATAGTTATTCTGTAATCTGTAAAATAGCTGTATATTGTCCGAGGAAAAGATATGTTTATTTTGCACAACCCGTAAAAAAAATCCTGCGAACGCCAATATAATATCATATTATATTATGTTTAGTAATTGTATATCCGCAACCATTACAACCAGACATTAAAGTTCTATACAAAATAATATTGATATATTGGAGGGTCTCAGGGTCTTACAAAATATTTAATGTTTAGGACATATTTCCATGCGTATGAAATCAGTGTGATATTATATTATAAAACAAAGTAATATGTATTGACTTTTCAATTAAAAATTATACTTCAAAAATACAAGTGCGATACCCAATAATATATATTTTGTTCAAGTCATACCTACTAATATATAAACATTCTACAAATATTTAATTATTCAAATAGTATTGTTATTATAATTTTTAAGTACCTACCTACCTATTATTAATATTTTTTTAAGGTTTGTTTTTTTATCATTATTTTATATTTCTCATTAAACCATGTGAAAAATATAATATGTACTATACGTACCTATGTTGAAATAACCTAATTTAATAACAAAATCTATGTTTTAATAAATATATTCTTATTTTACTTTATTATGTAGCAATGTAGGTAGAAAATATAACCAACGCAGTATACGGAAGCATTAATTTAATTTTAGAGGAAAAGGTTATTGTCGTTATTATTATATTATTATTCATATTTGAATTTCACACTATAAAATTGTAATTAATATAAATACTGTAGTAGCATTTTTGTTTAATGATACCTACATAATAAAACCCTAGACAATTTTATTGTGTTGAGAACCTATTACAAAGTTTATATAATTAGCATAGCGATAGCACTTGTAAGTAGGTATCAAGTAATCCAGCCAATTTATAATTCTAAAGACCATACCTAATATCTAAGTTATGCAAACCCAACCTAAGTATATATTATGAAAGGGAAGGGTTTAATTTATAAAATTACTTCAAATATAAAATAGTATCACGGTAAATAATGTGTTAGCTTTTTGACAGACTTTTGTGGGATATTTTTGATTGGTACATACAAGTCCTTCGACTCACTTCTTCATATTATAGTCCATCCTGTCAACAATACCTCCAATAAATAATTAATAAAGGGACCCTGAATAATATTTACTCGTAGGCTGACCTCGTATTCTCCAACAATGTTAAATTTTATCAGTAAGTCAAGGTCACACATGACTAAATCAGTCAAAGAACACTTAAAACATATTATTTAGAATTGTACCTACCTATAATGAAATAAATCATTTAAAAATCAAAACTCTTATCATAATATATTGAAATTTCTTGTATACAATAAATGTTTTTTCGGTCGGCAATATTATTTTGGTATTTTAAATGCAAGTCGGAAATTATTATTATTGTATTTAAATTTTAAACACCTAAATTATTATTTTACGGGGAATTATGATGATTGAAGTTGACGAAACAATTTCCTGAATAAATTTAAACCGCGTCAGTGCCGAATTCGTTCATATTACTATATCGTCATTTACACAACGCCATAGAGATTTTGTTTACATGTAAGATTCAAAACATTCTCATATTAATGTTCTTAATAAGATCATAATTGATAAATATAAATATAATTTTTTTTTTTTTTTTTTTTTTTTATTGGATAACCCGCGGCAACATAGGCCATTGGGTGTTGGTAGGGAACTGTAGGTTTTTTAGATTGGGTAGGTTGGTACACGTGTGTGTTTGTGGTGGCAGAATTTTTATTGGGGCACCCGTAGGTTTCTGCCATGCCCCGGGTTGGGGGATGGCGGCACTTGTACTCCGGACACCGTGACTTGCCCGGAGAAAAATGCCGCCCAGTGGTCGAGAGGCGAACCCGCGACTGCCAGCGCCGCAGTCGACGCGTTAGACCGCTCGGCCACCTCGTCCCCCATAAATATAATTTATGTAGGTATTTGTAAGTACTTAATATACAATATAACTGTTAATTAATAGTTAATACTTCAATAAAATAGGTAGATACCTAATAGCTTTATTTTTGTGATAAATTTGAACGACTAGTTTAAACTGTCCTAAAGTTTAAGTTAAAATAAATGTTTTTGTTCCTTTTTAATAGGTATCTACCTACTACAGCAAATAATGTGTTGGAATGGAATGATTGCCTCAATTAATAATTATTTATAACTTGGAATTATTTATTAAACAAACGTAGGTAGGTAGGTATGCAATTATAATATTAATTATCTACAAATCAATGTATCATAACTAATATTTTTCTAAACCATTTAAAATGGTAGGTACCTCCTAAAGGCTAAAACAAATAGAAATAGTTTTATGAAATAGTATTATGAATCATTTATTGTTAGTTAAAGTAGGTAGGTACCTATTAGTTAGTTGATATGCTTCACGCATAATTCAAACAAATAGTTGAACTATATAATATAGTGTTACCTAATACATTATACACAGCCACACAGGTAGGCAGAAGTATACCTGTGTAATTTAAATAACATTAAAATACCTATAGGGTATAAGGCATAAACCATAATACCTATATAGTAACTTCAGTTTTTACGATTATTAATTTTGTCATTCTTGATCCGTTTTTATTATTTATCAAGGATAAATTTTAAAATGTCTGTTCAATATTGAGCAATTGATTCAGTTCACAATGTTTATTGCTTACACATTGTAATTTTTACAGTGTATCTTAATGTATAACGAATACACCGTGATGTACACTATACATCATTACATCAATATTAAAAATGTCGTAATATAAATAAAATGGTTTAACGGAAATAAAAAAGTTAGGGCATATTAATAGGTATGGTACATTGGTACGCTACAGACATATTAAGATCTATGTAATTTTGAAACGTTAAGAACAATAAAACACTACCTACCTACACTATAAAAAAATATCGAGTTTACTTGTATAGTTGAATAGTATATAAATACTTAACTTCATGAAAAAAATTAAATTCCGTGATGCACATTTATTATTATGAATAGCTAACAAATAATCATTACAACATAACATTATATTGTGATTAAGTGGAGTTAATTTATTCTCCTTCAGGACTTCACGTCAAATATCAAAAAAGTCTTACTGTAATCAATAATTAATAATTAGGTGTACCTAACTATACCGTGTGTCCGCGTAAACTGGGTACACTTCATAACTCAGTTTCCTACATTACTCACTACTCAGTAACCTATACATAGTTTAGAATTCTATCTGCGACAGATTGATGATCCAATAGTATAGTTTCGTGTCCCCCAAACATAATTCAAAAAATATGTAGTTATAGAGTAGGTATATAGGTACTGAATAATAATTAATATGGGTAATTTAATTATACAGTGTACCTTGTTTTTACTGACAAATGGCGTATTATATACGAACTGTTAAGCCTCACCTTGCACATCGAGTCTGAACCTTACGCCTGCTGTACCATCCATGTCGTTGTCGACAGCATTCATCGTCGAGTCTGTGCTCGACTGGGGTAATGACAGTGTCGGTAAAGGGGGTCGTGATGAAGACGGCTGCAGCGGACCTGCATCGCCACTGTAAGTTACATGACACTCGTAGTCACCTGTGTCTGATTCGCGAAGACTAGAAACGTTAATTGCAATGGAGACTACATCGCTGAATTCTGGTGGTTCTACCACGGTAGTCCGTCCGTCGTACCGTTCATCGGTGGTTAACGTACCCCCTGAACACGTAAATACCGTCTGCCCCTGTGAAGAGAATATAATAAATTCAACATAATCGTAAACTGCTGTAGGCGGTTGCGTTTACTTCTCAATTCTCATACAATATGATATTATAATTTATAACTAAAAAATGATACTAATCTGAAATGTACATTGTTATACAATTATTTATAAAAGAAATAGCTAATTTGTATAATTAAATAGCTGACCCACGCACTTCATTGCATGTAATAAATTACAACTATTACAAAAACTGTAATTGTGATTTTGGATATAACTTGCTGCAGTGGTAAGTGCAACTCAGCCACCCAGGTAAACAATCCGCTAACGTCGGATCAGGGACAATATGCGACATCATATAAAGTAAGCAATCCACCTGTGGTGAATTGTAGACACGCCGATGAGGTGCTATATAAGTGCAACTCGGTCACCTTGATAGTAAATTACCGCAATGTCTACACATTACCTATGTCCGTAAATTCGATTGTATGCATGCTTGTATCTGATCTGCTTGCTTAACCAATGGCCACCAATATACAAAAAACATGCTAATTTCCACCAATTATTTCTCCTATAACCAACAGCAACTATTTATAAACAAAAATGTCCATCGTAAATCTCAAAATCCCCGTTTTAGCACCTACCGGATTTAAATCATCCAGCAAACTATTATACTCAAACACATACCAAAAATTCATCAAAATCGGTTCAGCTGTGTAGGAATGTATAAAGACAGACATAAGACAGATAGGTATTCATTTGCATATGTATAGAATATAAACTGTGTACCTAGGTATCAAAAAATATCCACGACTTAAATGCCAAATAAAAAAAAATTTCTCTTCAAAATGTAGGACCTCAATATAGACACGTGTTTTACGAATTTATTGCATTGTCTAATACACACCCCATCCTTTTTATATGGTCGTTGTGTGTATTGTATGTGCACATCGTTAATAATAAACAAAAATATTAGGTATTTATTAATATATTAAAATATACCCGACTAGGTACTAATATTACTAAGTAACCATGGTTACTGCAGTATTATAATATTACAAATTACAAGCGTAGTAAAATTACTTTAAATATATGAGTAATATTGAGTGTAATGACCAAGACATTGCTATAAATAAGTAAATAAAGATCGGTTTTGGTGTATTATAGGTGCTTATAGGCAATATATAGTCACTATATTATACAATATACATATAGGTACAGCTACAGGCATACAGGTTAGGTTACCAAATTTTCGGCTGCGACTTACAATGAAGAGTAAGCTGGTGAAATTAAAGTTTTTACACCAAATTTACAGACAATTATAATTAACATTTAAACAGGTGCTAATACCTATTATGAGAATAAGCGAGCACTCACATCTTTTGTCCAACGTACGGCTACAAGACGGCGAAGGCCGCCGTCGTGGTCGTACCGCGGTTGAGGTACTGCTGGGCATTCGAATACCGCGTAACCGCCGATCTGGGACGTCAGCGAGCCGACTTCGGCCGTCTGACCGTTACAACCAAAGCGGTAAAACAACAATACCGCCGCCGACAAATTCAGAACCAGTATACCGAACATACCGCGCTTTTTCGAAACGGTACCGGTGACCGCGGTTTCAGCAGACCGATCGTTCGGTGGGTATGCGGCACAGTGCGGAGATTGTCGCTACAGAGGCCTCGCGGGAGGACGAATTTGCATTATTTTTCAGACACGACAAATTATTATAATATTGTCGTCGTCGACGTCGTCGTTTTAATAACAATAATAATAACGCACGTGACGTAGGATAAATATTTGCAAATAACTATGTACACACGTCGGCAGCGGTCGGCCCACTCGATGCTAAATGAATAATATTATATTATACTCTAATACTTAATACGATATATACCCAACACAATACATCAGCATCCAGCGCGCAGTCAGTAGTTGTACTTATAAGCTGCCGCTGTACTGAAGTGGCGTTTGTAGGTAGGGGAGATACACCGACGGGAACCGTTAATCATAGTGGACATTTTTTGATAATCCAACGGGGTGGCAATTTTTTTATGAACAATATTCGAATCTTTACTATCAGTAGCTTACACTTTAATTTATTGATGGTAGGTCATCGATCAATCAATATAATAAAATAGTATAGGTATCGTTCGATGTTTAACAATATGTTATGGTTTTACATTATTTCAAACAAGTCACCATTAATAAAATTATAACCAATTGAAAAACGGCGTGTTCAACGATAAAGGCAACATGAAATAATTCAAATGCATGACCTTGAATTTGATTCGTGTTTTTTTTTACTGCATAAAGGAGTAAAGGACTTATTATTATAACATTAATTTCTGAAAAATTTAAATGTTTAACCTAATTTTTCAAAACATGCACTACAAAACAAATTTGTTTTTTAACTAATGTCCCTCTTTCTTTAAGATTGAATTTGAATTGAATAATTTTTTCAACTTCGTCAACTCTGACTTTTAAAAATGTTTCCTATATTAACTCTTATATATAGATTAATTCCGAGCTTTTGTTGCTGAATGGTACCCTCTTCATATAATGTATAAATTATATACATTAGGTAACGTACCTATATGTAATTACTTTACTGGATACATAAGTGAGAATATTATTATTAGACTTTGACTTATTATGAGTTAATACAAGTATAATTAAATATTTAATATGACTTATGAGCTTAAATTATTTTCCAACATGCATTATCTATACACCTAAAAAATAACCTGTCCTGAGTCCTGACTGTTTCATCATCCCCCACCGAAGTTATGAATATGAAATTTGGGTTCGCATTTTAAAGAAATAGAAATTTGTTTTATTTATAAATTGTTGCCATCGGTTACTCGTACAGATGAGGTAAATGCATTTATCAAATTGTCAAGTTTACATGGCCTCAATTAAATAAACTATATATCTTAAAACCAAATATATATTTGTAGCTTAATTAATACTCAAAAACTACTCGATTGATTTCGATGAAATCTCAGAGATTGGGTTTCGAGATTAGTTTAAGCTAGGTACGTTAAAAAATAAACCAAAGTGCCAAATCTAACCAGCAACTTTCAGTTGCCCATCTAGGTCGAGTTATTTTACAATGAGGTAACAGCGATTTATCCGTGAACTAAAACCACACTACAACCGAGATACACTATATTATATAGAGCACTGTATTTTATATTTGCTAATTGTTCAAGGTGGAGTCGGGTTTTACAGCTAGACTATAGTCTATGTATAAATAAAATGTTAAATAATAATTTAATTTGTAATTTAAATTTTACTCATAAACCTAATTTAACTGTACCATCTCCTCATCACCAACTGTTGAAAATGAAATTATTTTCAAATTCATAACTCCTCCCCCCCTCCCTTGAAAATAAATCCTGGTTTCGCCACAAATATCTATTTTCTTAGTAAAAGTGGTACCTAACCGAAAAAAAAACGTAATGAGATAGTAAAACATTGTTCTGTGGTAAAACGGGCCCTAAGTAATTGTACCCAATTTATACACCTATGGCTATCATGATGATGATGTATTCACCATAAGATTATACGAAGCGGGAGGATGTCCTGATCAAGAGATTTTTTTTTCAACATTTTTACGACCACGATCTAGATGTGAGGTCCGTCGCCTGATGAACTGCAGCTTCCTTCCGTCCGCGGACCGCTGTAATAGGCACGCGATCGCAAGTCCACCGAGGTCGTGCCAACTGAAAACAAAGACTGCAGGCGGATGTCCGTCGCGTGTGTCGAATCGTTGACGAATTGTCCTATGGTACCTATAATATCTACGTTTATTTGTTTGTAATAGTTCGAAATACGTATACGACAATATACTCGATATTATATTATAATTTATAATATCCATGTACAATATATATGAAATATGAATCACAATGGCCGCGGGTACGTTATACCTACTATTATTGGTTATTACATATTATACTATATAGTATATAGGTACCTAATTCTATACTACCATCATCATATATTATGTACCTACCTAGTACCTCATTACATAAATATTAAAATACTATTTCGTAATACACTAAAGTACTTACCCATTTATAGGTAATACCTATATATTCATGGCATAAAATTATAACTAATAATGTAGGTATAGTGTATACTGTATACTAATAATTCAACACAATAGAATTTATATTTAAATAGGTACTATAGATCAAATAATACATAGATAGCCATAATTATATACATAACATAATTCATTTTTTAATAGAAATCCTAGTTATACCAATGGTAGGTACGCGATATATAGTATGGTCATATAGATAATAATGATATGTTTATAAAATCTATGAATATGAATATGATGACTGATGACTGACTCTTTAATAGTTTTACTGGTTACCCGGACATTTTCCCGAATTCATATTCCCAGAAAACCATATCCAAAACGAAAATCTCGAATTAATTTTATTTACCCATTTAAAAATGTAAATTAAATTATATGTTATATAGGTAGGTAGGTAAATATTTAATAGGCTGTGAGAATGTAATTTTTATATTACCAACTTGAGCTATCTTTTATTGATAAGTATGAAATATAATACCTTTTTATACATACCTACTAAGCATAGGCGTGCACAGACTTTATTCGCAGGTTATGCAATAAGGAAAATAGGGCCCCCTCACAAATTCTAATCTTTCCTTAATTTATTCTAAAAAACAATTCTAAGCCGTTAAACATTTTTTTTAACACATATAGGATTCAATTTACAATCTAAGTTATTGCAAATATACTACTTAGGTTTTTTGCTTCACTCGGAATCTGAAATCACACATAGTTTTACAGTAGAATATTAAACAATGCGCTGTAGAAATAAGTAGTTTTAAATTTGAATTATATTTATTTAAAGAAAATTTGATCAAGTATAATATACTAGTATGAATGTTTTTGAATAATTTTAACATATTAATAATGTTGTTATTTCATGGAAAGTACTTAAAATCTAAACTCTAAAGTTCAAGTCTTCTTTTTATCGGCACACATGTTTTGAATTAATCTATTACTTCTTCAATATTGATTTCTGATGCCATTTTTTGCTCGATAAATATTAACATCAGTGAATCAAGACGTTCTTGTGACATAGTACCGAACTCAGTTATAATAATAATATGGTCTTTAATTACAAACTATAAAAACAATAATAATTATTCTATTCTTACAACATAGATAACAATGCCTACGTGTTACGCTTTAGTGTATTAATAGTTTAGATTATCTTGCGGGTCGCCAGAAAAGTGAAAACTAAAATTTTTATTATTTTTTTTTTAATATAGAAAATATTATCAAAAATTCCTTGGTATATTATATAGGTATGGGCCCCTCACATAAAGCCGCAGACTATGCAGTGGCATACCCTGCATACCCTGTGCGCACGCCTATGCTACTAAGATTATATTTATATCATCAAACACCAATATGTTTATTTTACAGTAATATTTTATATTATTAAATTGTGCTTATACTTTATTAAACTTTTATTAAATGTATTTAACCCTACTATAAATTTAATATAATAAATAATTAAATATCAATTTCTGTTTAAAATTATAATATTTACACTTTTGCATGATTTATTTTGTTAATTCCTTCTTACTATGTAATTTGCTTATAGTAACTACTAATTATTAATTACTAATTTTTATTTTTTAAATTAATATATAAAATACTTCATAATTCATATTATACTGTTATAATTTATTATAATAGAACCTATATAAAAACTGAAATACATATTTGGTCTTGCCCTCTTATCATAGCCCCAATTAACGGAGTGGAAAATCTGATCCACTAAAAGTAAACCATAAATGTCACAAAATACGCACAAGATAACATTTTGGGTATCATTAACTAATTATAATTTATAAGTTGTTTTATTATAATATATCAAATTACAAATAATTTATTACCTAACTATAAATGCATTTTTTTCTACTAGAAAAATGTAATAGTTTTATTATTCGGTGCCGTTTCCATAGTAGATACCTATTTTTTTGTATATAATATAATATATAGGTACATTTAATCTTGTTATATGATCAACAAAAATTGCAACCAAAAGTCCTCTGACCAGTTTTGATAGGTAGGTAACTGGTAAACCCACGTATATATAGTGAGTTATTATTGAACCATCTTACGTCTTAAGTTTTAGTGTTGTACCTATACAAAAGCACGTTACCCTGGATACACCGGAAAAATGTCTTAACACGCAAGTATACGTCATGTATTCACTATTCGGTACTATGTAGGAATGTTCGACTGTTATTCATTCACATTATTGCACACTGGTACAACAAAATACTCGTATATAAACTGTTGCCGATTATGTCGTATAAATCATTTAAAATATGTGTAGTTTTAGATATTTTAGACGTGAGTATCATAATATATCCGCTATACACTGATTGTTGTTATTATCTATTATTATTTTCACTATACTTAATTACGGTTTCTATGTTATTATGAAAAATTCAATAATATTACCTACTTAACTACAGGTCACGTGTCCCGGTGTGTGGATATGTCCCAAAGGAATGATATATCTCGATATTTGGTTGTTCGGGTGTAACAGTAGCACATCGTATGTAGAACCCAAATTTCCTTTAGCTTTCAATGAAACATTTAACTTCCACAAAGTAAAACATGATTAATTCCATATTTCAATTATTTTATCTATTTTTTTTTTTTATCTGATAGACCTTTACAGAACTCTCAAACTTGAGGGACATTCAGAAAGTCTTGGAAGAGAAATGCATGAAAATAGAATTAGTGCAAGCCTACAAAAATAAACAAGTCACTTTAGCCACATATAGCTCATATGTCGATGAAGTATTATACCCCGAACGCAGTCGGTTGAGTAAGAATGGAGAAATGGCATTGCTCATGAAAAATGAACCTTTATTTCCGGTTAGTATATAGATAGGTAGATAGAGTGAATATATTAATAATATTTAAATAATTGTTGAGGTAATTTTCGAGTTCCATATTTTTTTTTTTAAGTAATTAACATTCACAATATATTTTTAAAACTCATTATGGTACAACAATTGTAAGCAATATAATTAGTTTCTCTCAAAATCTAGTGAATTTAAATTTTTTCAAAAATAATTTATAATGGAATAACTAGACTATTTTGTTTATTTACCTGTATATCAGGAGCGAGCCCAATCTAATCCACTCCCCTTCCTATTGCAAGGACAACGTTGAAAAATATTTCCATACCGATAATATTAAGTATAAAATATAATAAAAACGTGTACATTTAATAAAATATTAATACAATTTTATAATTTTAAAAAGCTCTTAACTTGCTTTAAAATTCAAAAAAATACTACAGTGAGTTAATACTCTTGCATTAAAATTGTATTATATGTCACTTATCGGTACACTTAATATTAAAAATAACAGAGTAAAATGGATTATTCAGAACGTAATATAAGTTTTTCTGTGTTATGTATTTGTAGATAAAGACAGAAATCACACACACTATAACGTCCACTAGACAAAATATTTTAACTACAATATCGTAATAATACCTATTTCTAATATTAGTCCTAGCACATTGGTACAATATAATATATTACCAGATACCTACGGGCTATGACTAAATAAGTGATAGATACTTTTAACAATATTATTATTTGAATAGGTATAAAATGCATTTAATACTTTATAATTTAACTAAACATTATTTCAATACTAGGTGCCTACCAACTCAATTACTCAAATAAATATTACTCAATAAATAAATTGGCATTTATTACCTATATTATATACCTACATAAAACATGTTTAAGTTGGTATACATTATTAGTAAATAGTTAGTTGTTAAGTTAACTTGTAAACTTTGATACTTTATACTTCTATTAATAGTTTAATGTGGAGACCAGGTAAAAAAAATGTATTATTTAGTATAGGACCTCCTCCCTAACAAATGTATGGCCACTCTGAAATTTACATTATTTAAATCTTGCTTTGTTTTTTTTTAATTGATTAAAAAGTAGCTTTGTGTAACTATAGTCTATATTAATTATAATAATTTATATACCAACTGATTTAAACAATAATTAAAAAAATTTAAATCATTGTTTACATAATTGGCATAATGAACAACATAAATGATATGTTATGATGTCCAATAACAAATAATAACAATGGATAATCATAGGGAACTATTTCACCGAAAATTACACTAGTCACCAAGACCAGTGTTACAGAACAAATAAACGTAATTTCACGTGTAAATGATCAATGCTCACCACAATATTTAGAAACTCAAAATCAGCCTAACAGAATGAAAAGAGTTCATCACTCCAAATTTAAGAATTCGCAGTGTTCACATAACACAGAACTTAGGTTGGAAAACACACGCAATTTTTACAATACTCGTTTATATTTAATTTCTTATTGATATTCATATAATAGGACAACTAATGAAGATGGAAATATTAATTCAGACACAGACACAGACACAGACAGTCAACTATATTGTTTAGGAGCAAAAAAGGTAATATAAAATATAAATATAAATTGTTATTAGTTATTAGCTAATATCAATAATATGTATTAATGTATAATAATATATTGAATATATTATGGCATTATGCTACCAACAAATTTAACGATTAAAGGCGGGTTCACACTACACCGTGTCGTGTAATATAATCACGGTTACCTCAGTTACCAAACGATACCGCATAGTTGAATATATTCAATTTTTGACCGTGTGGTTACATTAAGTATGAACCCGGCTTTATCTGCACATAAATGTAACCACACGGTCAAAAGTTGAATATATTCAACTATGCGGTATCGTTTGGTAACTGTGGTAACCGTGATCATTTTACACGACACGGTGTAGTGTGAACCCCCCTTTAAGCAGAGACTGGTACCTACCTCATGCAGTTATGCATAATATGGTACCATATTTTTAATGCTTGTAATCTGAATGTTACATAATTTTAGATTGATCTGCAATAACTAATATTATGTCTTATTATATTTTTAAATATTCTAAAAAAAATGTATAATATTACCTATTTAATTAATAGTAGGTAGTAGGTAATAAAATGTAATAACGTAATAATAATAATAATAATAAAATATCATTTATGAATATATATTATAAGAAAGGGAGCAAACTTGGTTTGTGCAAGGGGGGACTTGTCCCTCGTCCCTCCCTAAAAAATAAAAATGTATACAATAAAATATTATGTAATATACTTTAAATCCATTTACTTATTTCATATTTAATACCATACTTGATACCATAGACTTTTGCTTTCTGCTTATCAGTTAATGAGTGAACAAATCATTTTATGTTCGTACAGAATAATAGGTTTTAGAATCTACTTTAATTTTGCCTCCAGCCTCCCCCCCCCCCTTGAAAATTACTCTATGGAGGCCCGTGATTATGGGGATACATTTAGAAATTTAAGATTCAAGCATTTTACAAATTATATTAATACATTATCCCTATAATTACAGATTTATAGGTAGTATAAAAGTTTAATATTAAAATACATATATAAATATATAATACATAATATACTAATATACTTGGTATACTTATGAACACGATTTAAATAAAATCAACATAACATTAATTTACTTACATCGTCCCTATGAACTACAGGTTATAACCAACTATCAAATTACTAATTTATTGTTTATGGATATTTTCTTTTGTACTGCAAAATCTAAAAATCTCAATAATTATTTCACTGTTTTCATTAGGCCAGTGTATTGTGCTGGGTGAAATTTTTAAATAGGACGAATATTAATATACAACTCATCCATACCGCTTGTTTAAAGAATTACTTCGACCCCTGTTCATTTAAAAAAATCGTTATAGTCTGTACTCTGTAGGTAGATAGTAGGTACGCATCTAACTATAATTATTATTATTTATTAGACCAACAATAACATGATGGATTGGGAGTACCATTCGAAAAAATCTTGCAAACTCTGTAAGTTTACATTTATATTTATTTAAAGTCTTATCATATTTATAATATTAATATACTTTAACGAAGGTGAACATATGCATAGCTCCAAAATAAACGAGCATAGAAAGGAATCCAGGTAAAACAATACAATATATGATTTTTTATTAAAATCATTATACATCCATTTAGGTAAGTACTTATACTCTATCCAGCGAGAGAAAGCAACGATTCCATGCATCCCCCTGCTATCGAAATCGGTTCAGAAATGGCAGGATGTAGCGTGAGGATGCGGATTGTGGTCGGCGCGTTCTTTCGCTCGATAGTAGATATACTATATAGGTACATAGGCCCAAATCCATTAAAATTTCTATGGGAGGGGCTAACATTTTTAACATCAATGTGAGTGGGAGGGGATTCGATCCCACACAACTAAAAACTGTATATTTTTGGGGGTGCTAATGAGGTATTTGGGGGGGCTAAGACCCCTTAGCTCCCTTGCGATTTGCGTCTATGAGTATATATACAAAGCTATCAGTAACTACCAACTAAGGTTTAACTAAAGTTAAATGTTAAGTTATTTTTTTTAACTTAACAAGTTAAAAAAATGTATATTTAAAAAATAACTATAGTTAGGTACCTAAGTTATAACTTAGTTGCTTTTGGTTATAAAATTATAAATAATTTTAAAGTTTTAACTTTACCTGGTTAGGTATTTTTCAATAGCTGAAGGTAATTCTAAAATGTTATTTACATATTTATGTATGAAATTATAAATAGGTAATTATTTTCATTGAATATAATATGGAAAGTATCACATAATATTGGCTTGAAAACTATTTATAAAATACATTACATATACCACAGTACCACCAAGTGCTGAAGTAAAGCGATTTTATAGTATCTACAGCCAGTACAGGTGGTGGTGGTCAATTGCAAAACGAAAAAAGAGTATCAACAGGCAACAGCTGACCACAACTTTGAAAAACTTTATTATTGAAATATAGTAGCCAGTAGGTAGATGATTATTATAGTTTTACATCGGTTGTGTATTTATTTTATAATTCTCTATTAAATAATACATGACAAACAGTGAAATAAAAATTATTATTCTAAAATGTGCTCAATGCTCATTGTTAAGCTCAACTGTTTTCCCAATTAGTACAAAATATAAGGGTGAGTAGTTTTAAAAAAAGTAATTTTAACTTTAACTAAGTTAATACCTATTTGCTTAAAACTGTGTTAAGTACTTAAGATAATAATATCAAGTTATTCGATAACGTGATTTTCTGTTTTTGTCTAACACACGTGCGACATAGTATTTTAGGATGATTGCTTAGTGCTTTAAGGTCTTGTTGAATTCGATAAATTACAACTAAATAATATACAATATCGTAAAAATTATAATATTCAAACGCTCATAAAAAAAATTGTTACTTGACCCTAAACTTAATTGTTTTGTTATAAGTAGAAAAACATTTTGGGAATCTTTTATTATAATTTCTTATCTTAGCTATGAAAAGAAAAACTTTTATGAATTTCTAACTGAAAAATAATTTACAAAATTTGAAAAAATTATCATGGCTTTAAAATTTAAATAGCTAAAGCTAATAGAAATAGTTTGAAGATTTCACCGTATATGGAAAATGCTGATATAAATATTATAAGGTAAACATTTAAGGAATCTACGGTTATTCGTTTTGAAAATACAACAAAATATAAAAATCGATCAATAATTTACCGCTGAATATAAAATCCAGAAAAAAGTTCAAAAGCTCATAAAAAATAAAGTTCCGTTTAAGTACCCTTTTTTTTGTTCGTTATAGGTAGGAAAACTTATGCAAAATCTTTTATTAATATTTTTAATCTTAGAAAAAAAAACACTTATGAATTTCTAACTAAATAATAATTTACAACATTTAAAAGATTTCTCGTTGCTATTAATAGCTGAAAAAGTTTCAAAATTGTTTGAAAATATTACCATATATGGATAATGGTCGTTTTAACATTTAGTAAAAATTGCAAGTATCTAGGTTCATTCGTTTTTAAGTTACAACAAATTATCAAAAATTGATTGATGAAAATTCTTTAATTTACCTATAAAAATCCAATAATTAAACTTTTAAATTCAAACACTCATAAAAAATTAATATGTGGCTTTTAGGTAAACTTTTCTTTTGATTAAGGTAGGTACATTTGGGAGGAGTCTTCTTTCAACATTTATAATGTAAGCTTTGAAAAATAAACCATTTATGCATTTCTAACTGATATTTAATCACGCGGTATCGAATTCCCTTAACTTACAGTTACTATTTACTACTTACCAACTACCTAGTGTCTTTCAATTGTTATCCCTAGTAAAAATGTAATAATAGTAGAGAACTATATAAACTTACGTGCACCTACCTTTTTCAGCGATCAAAAACATATAAAGGAGCCTTTAAATTTGAAAGATAAATCTTTGGATAATGATGAGTACAAAAAAACTGAAATTACATCAAATAAATTTGGAAAAAATATAAAAGCTACATTCAACTATAAGTGCTGTAAATCAAAGTTAAATAACAGTATGTACATTTTTAATTTTTAGTTTAATATTATAATTGTAATCCTTTTAGAAATGTAACAAATTGTTTATGTAAAAGGCCGCAGTACAAATGATTCAATAAAAACAAGGTAATCATAAGGTATTTTCATAAAAATAAATGTATAAACTATTCGTAGGTTATTTTTAATTGTTGATATGTTAGTGATGAAGATTCTATAATTAATGAAAAAAAAAACACGAAAAATCCTGTAATACTTGAAGATTCAGGTGAAGAACCAAAGAAAATAAATCCGAAGATTAAAGCTCGTTTACATTTGGATGTGTATCATTGCAAATGTGGTATGCCTGACTGTATGTTAAGTCCAAGCTGGTAAAATCATTAAGTTTCAACATTTTGTTTTGAGTTTATTTAATATTCATAGTTATAATATATATGTACCTATATGAGAAATGAGAATTAAAATATTAATATATCAAACAGATTTATCGTGGTGGCAAATTGTTTTTAAATGGATATAAACTTGTATACATGTAGTAGGTACTTTATAAATTAAATAAATTAATTGTATACTGTAATCTAGACAACATTAGCGCAACTAGAGATAATGACATGAAAGGGGGGGGGGGTGCCAACATTATTGTAGGTACTTAACTATTAAGGCATTTTTTTCTGAAAGTTTTTGAGTAAACCAGCCCCATATTTTCCTACATAAAAACCGAAGTTCGACTGCGAGACGGAATGTGGACGATTCTACTGTTTTTAATCCAGTTACAACCAAATACATACCAATAAAACATTAGTGCATTACCGATAATCAATAATATAATTATTATTATATCAATGCTGTTTGGACAAAAGTGGGCCCTAAATTCCAATATATTTGTTCGATACTGGCAGGCTGGATATTATATAACACCTTGGAGATATTTAGATTTCTCGGAAACTGCATCAAACGCTTGTTGAACCTACATGTGTCAAACCTACATGATGAGCATGGATGAAGAGCAAGTCATTGTTGACAC